GAGAGCTTTTGAGGAAGAAGAGGTACTGGCAGGGATAAAGATGTGTGCTGCAGAAAAAGCACCCAGACCAGATGGCTATACCATGGCTTTCTTTCAAGCTTTCTGGGAAACAATAAAGGAAGAACTGATGCAGACATTCCACAGATTTCACTCTCACCACAAGTTTGAGAAGAGCTTCAACGCCACTTTTGTAGCTTTGATACCTAAGAAGGTTGGAGCAAATGATCTAAGAGATTTTAGACCCATTAGTCTAATTTATGGGGTCTACAAAATCATAGCAAAGGTGTTGGCTGAGAGATTAAAGAAGGTAATAAGCAGAGTTGTAAACAACCACCAGATGGCTTTCATCAAAGGGAGACAAATAATGGATGCTTCTCTTATTGCTAGTGAATGCATTGACACCACGATTAGAGGAGATGTGCAAATAGGATTCGGGAGAAGGTGGATTAAGTGGATAGAATTCTGTATCAAAACTAGAGGTCTGAGACAAGGGGATCCCTTGTCCCCTTTCCTGTTTATCATAGCTATGGAAGGGTTAGGCAGTCTGATGAGAAGGGCTGCAACAAACAACTGGATAAAAGGCTTCAGCATTAAGAACAGGAACAATGAAATCATGGAGGTGACTCACTTATTATTTGCCGATGACACTGTGGTTTTCTGCGAAGCTGAACAAGAACAAATTTGCTACCTAAGGGTGATACGGGTGATCTTTGAAGCTTGCTCTGGTTTGAAGATTAACTGGAGGAAAATCAATATTTTTCCAGTGAAAGAGGTGCAGCAAATTCAGTCTCTGGCACATATTTTGAGGTGCAGGATAAAGGAGTTGCCCACAATTTATTTGGGAATGCCATTGGGTGCTAATCACAAAGCTGTGAATTTATGGGATGGAATAATAGAGAAAACAGAAAAAAGACTAGCTCTTTGGAAATCACAATACCTTTCCCTGGGAGGTAGAGTTGTTTTGATCAATTCAGTCCTAGATTCTCTGCCAACATATGTAATGTCTTTATTTCCCATCCCCGGTGAGGTGGTGAAAATCTTAGACAAGTTGAGGAGGGATTTCTTATGGCAAGGAAGCAAGATTGAGAAAAGTTTCAACCTGGTAAAATGGAGCGCAGTTTAGCAAAGCAAGAGTTTTGGAGGTCTAGGAGTGAGGAACCTACAACTTCATAATAAGAGTTTACTTATCAAATGGCTATGTAGATTTACTCAAGAAAATCAGTCCTAGGGAGACTATCCTTCATAAGTATGGTCCGGAGGGGCAGTGGTGCACACCACTAATAAAGTGTTAAAGAATGACAAAAAGTCCCACATCGGTGGTTAATGAGATGGGTGGACTCCTTATAAGGCTTAGACAATCCTCCTCCCTTTGAGCTAGCTTTTGGGGTGTGAGTTAGGCATAAGACCTAATTTAACATGGTATCAGAGTAGGGCCTGTCTCACCCGATGTTGGGGCCCCCAAAATCAAAATTGCCCACGCACCAAATGTTAAGCACTGGGCGTGAGGTGGGGTGTTAAAGAATGAAAAAAAGTCCCACATCGGTGGTTAATGAGATGGGTGACTCCTCATAAGGCTTGGGCAATCCTTCTCCCTTTGAGCTAGCTTTTGGGGTGTGAGTTAGGCCTAAGACCTAATTTAACAGTGACTAATACATATGGGTTTGGGGTTTGGAAATCTATAAGGAATCTATGGATGACTCTTAAGCTAAACACTAAAATTAGAGTTGGTAGGGAAGACAAGATACTTTTTTGGGAAGAGGCCTGGAGTGGTCATGGCACACTTCACTCCCTTTTTCCAGGACTGTTCTCAATAAGCTTGAATACTGGATGCAGTATACAAGAAATGTGGTCCCCTCAAGGGTGGAACCTGACTTTCAGAAGACCCCTAAATGATTGGGAAATACCATGGGTAGTAGATTTTCTAAAACTAATAGGAAACTTCCCGGGCACTAATACAGACTCAGACAAACTCATTTGGAGGCACCACAATGATGGAATTTTCACTGTTAACAGAGTATACAAAAGGGGACTCGGTGTTGCTGCAGGCAGGTCAACTGGACCTTGGAATACTATATGGAAGAGTGTGGCTCTAATAAAGTGAAATGTTTCACTTGGCTAATAGCTAGGAAAGCATGCTTGACACATGAGGCATTGCAAAAGAGGGGGTCCATCATAGCATCTAGATGCCTCCTCTGCAAGGAGGTACTAGAAACCAACAAACACATTTTCATGCCCTGCATCTAGTGGACCATTTGGAAGGAGAGGAGCCAGAGAATCTTTGAAGGAAAAGAATCCGCTATTTTGAAGATTAAGTGGAAAGTTATTACTTCACTACGTTTTTGGTGTAAAGAACAGAGTATAGAAGAGGAAATCCAACTAGTGGATTTTATAGGCACTTTGTAAGTATCTCTTGTTTCTTTTTTGTAAACTTTTTGGAGGTGGCCAACATAGCCTTAATACTGAATGAAAACAATTTACCAATTTAAAAAAAAAACTACATTAAGATGTAGGTTTTAGAGTTAGGTTTAGTGTTAGGGCTTGGGTGAAATGATTTAGTTAAACAGTCTCATACCTTTTTTTTTTATGGCAAGGAAAACCCGCAGCCGCTACCCTTTGGAAGCGCAGAGGATAAAACCCCCGCTCCAATGCAATAGCTCGCAAACCACACAAGAGAGGTAACCCGCACTAGGCAAGCCCGGTGCGATGAGCTCGACCCACAAGGCAAACCCATTGCTTTCGCGGGAAAGGGATTTCGAGCTTGAGCCCTCCAATATGGAATTCCCAAGCCCAAACCGCTGGGTCACCCGAAGGGTTTAAACAGTATCATACCTTACACTTCATTAAAATACTCTCCAAGCGAAATCCTACCATTGTGACCCTAGTCTCTCCAAAATAGTTGATATGGCCATGCCCACCGGCAGCAAGCCACCACCAGTGGCTGGTCTACCCATTACAGCTCCCTCCCCTTTACAACGACGAACTACATTACAACCCTACATAACACCATTATCCAAGAGAAAATCAAACATATTATGCTTCAACCTATCACATAATGGAGAACCCACCATCCCATGGACCAAGAAAGATTTTGTTAGGTTGTGTATCCGGCAAAACCTTCTATATGCACTAGTGGCAAAATTTGCATATGGAAGACCTGATTGATACTCATTAAAAAAATATGCCAACACAATTGTAGCATGCAATATTGGCTATATTGAAGAAAGGCAACTCGGACGAGATCAATACCAAATGCGGGCATGTGAACCTCTTTCCGCCACTTTTCAAAAAATAGTATCGTTGTGCATCATTCAAGCAAAATCAGCCGTCACTGTACAAAATCCAGTGACTACTCACAACTATCCCTGTTTTCTGGTGTTGTGCAAAATCCAACACCACCACAAGGTCCAGCAACCTCCGGCGACCAAAGCTCAACCAACGTCATTGGTCGCAAATACCTCACGCAAGGCTAGATCAAGGATTCTAGCAACCACGATAGTACCACGTACCAATGTGTGAGCCTGTTCCAGCTAATTTTCCGGCAACTTTCTTGTTCAATATTGACTCGTGATTTTGAGACAATCTAAATATTTTATACCAAATTTTGAGTACTTTTCGGTGACCACTGCACTATTTTCGACATATCTAAGTTTTCCAATTTCACTTTTACCAAAGGATATGCTGAGATATTTGGGATGGATTAGAATTATAATTTCTCTCCCCTGGATAAAATAGCATATATCTGCCTTTTTCTATCAATGGTTGTCATTTGTCATTGGCCACTTCATCAATTGGACATTAAAATGCTTTACCACATGATTTTATTAGCCGGGGTAGTCTAGTATCCTTGTATGTCGATTGTGTAGATCACTCTAAGGTTTGAAACAATCTTCTTGAGCTTGATTTGGGAAGTTCAGCAAGTAATTCAGGAATTTGGCATGACTCGTGGTGAAGTTAATCACTCCATGTTTTATCAATGGTTGCTCAGTCTAGATTAAGTATTGTTATTTTGCAATGCATGTGTGCCTTGGCCATTCTTGAGGAGACAAGAATGATGGGATGTTGACCTATTGACACTCCTATGGATCCCAATGCTAAACTCCCGCCAGGACAGGGGGAGCTACTCAACGATTCTGGAAGGTATAGATGGATAGTGGGAAAGTTGAATTACAGTGACTAGACCTGACATCCTTTTCTTGTGAGTCTTCCAAGATAGTTTATGACTTCCCCTGTAATAATCATTGGGATGCAATTGTTCGCATTTTGCGATATATAAAATGAGTTTCAGGTATAGGACTACTCTTCGATGATCGAGGTCATAAGCATATCATTGGATATATAAACGAGATTGGGAAAGATCACCCGCTGATAGACGTTCCAGTTTTGGATATTGTGTTTTAGTAGGAGGTAATTTGGTATCCTAGAAGAGTAAGACGCAGAGTGTGGTTGCTCGATCAAGTACAGAAATACAATATCGAGCAATGGTTGTAGCAACTCGTGAGCTAGTTTGGATTAGAGAACTAAAATTTGGAGAAATCGACCAAATGGAACTTGAGGGTCGATATACCCTGGTGAGAAAGGAACTGGTGGATTTTATGACAGACCATTCCATTAAATAAAAAGCATTTCACGGTTTTGCCCACCCCGCTCTTGCTTTGTAAAATTTCCATTTCCACTAGATCCTAACATCCTCCTTCCTACCTAATCATGATGTATATTGATACAGTTGGATATCATAAAAATCTCTAACTAGAACCCTAGATTCTCTGATACCATACACTAGCAGCCAAAGGAACATCAAAATTGACGAAGAATTGTATCAGAGCACATGCATGATGGCTTTATCGGTGCCCATTAGCATTAATTAAGTATTTTTATGGTTTATATCTCTTATCCTGAAACTACATTGACAGAGTGAGCATTTTCAATTGAGTAGAAAAGTTATTTAATTCACTAAACAATCGAAGGTAAAACAGAGGGGGCAAAAGAGAGAAAGGGAGAACCTGCACCTTCTCATTGTCTATCGACATTCTCCGTTGTTCGCCGTCCATCGTTGAATCGCCGGAGATTCCGAGAAGAGTGAGACTGGCGCCGTTGAGGGGAAGAGTGGAGAACAACAATGAGCGTGAGTTCTGACAGCAAAGTGAATATAGGGGTATTTGGTGTGAAGGCGTTTTGGAATTTATTTGGTGCATAAAATCTCGACTAACTCACACTCGACACGTGTACAATTTTTTCAAAAATAATTTTGGAAAAATTTCATAAATATAAAATAAAAGTAATTTTACCTATACCAAAAAAATAGTTTAAATTTAGCGATACAAGTAACAAAAATTGTTTTCAATAAAATGATTGTATGTATATATAATATATCGATATTGTACAAATAGTATAGACTCGTGTATAGGTGATGTATAACTATATATTAGAAATGTACATTGTTGATACAATAAAGTATATATTGCACATTAATTTTTATTCAATCTCAACCTCTCGATGTATTGATTCGTTTAGTATATTATTCATGTTTGCGGCAAATTCAACTCGTGATTTTTTTGTTAATTATGCAAGATATGAGAACTTTTAAATCATGATTTGGCAAAATTTTGTAGAGATATTTTTCATGATAATTAGTTTGTGTATATATCATTGATAGACATTCTTTCTTTCAAGAAGCTAGTTATCACTAAATAAGTAAAAACTATCATTGTTTTTACATGTTCTGTACTGCACAACAAGAGATGAGTTCTATGGATTAATTCATTGACAAATTCTTTATAGCCACCTAGATGATCTGAGGAATCTATTACAAGATATAAAAAGATACAAATTCAAAAGAGTTAAAGGAATCACGTGAAAGAGGAACGGAGGACCAAGGATTAATAAAATTATTATATATTATGATAATGAACTAATAGTTGGGCTAAATTGATTCATACAATAATCGAATAGTCATTTTGAGGAGTAAACTAATAATTTGGCCAATTTGATTAGTAAAATAATCAAATAATCAATTCTTTTTATTTTCCCTTTTTCAAGTTTGGATGTAGCAAAAGTAGCAAATTATGACCCGTTTAATTTGCTCAGGTTGAGGTTGATTATTGAACTGTTTATTTATTAGCTCACACATTTTAGTCCATCAAATTTTTGGACTAATATATACTCCAGAATTTAGACTAATTCATAAAAAAAATAATTCAATTTTTTTATTTAATATATTATACATAACCATAATAACAAAATATTATATTTTTACAAGGTACTAAAAATTATCAAAACAAATAAACAACTAAAATGTAGCAAAAATTGGGTGAATTGAGTTATGACCCCCAATTTATTTCGGTCCAAATAAACTTTGGAAAAATTCGACAAATGTCATTTGGTCAAAATTTATCTCTAAAATAACTCAATTATCATCAATTACATAAAATGGTCATTTGTCCACTTTCAATTTTAAACGCAGTAATTTTTTGCTTCTACTTTTCCTTTCTGCTTTGTCTTCTTCTTTCAGTCATTAATGACTTCTCCCTTCCTTATTTATTTGTTGCTTTCCTTCTTCCTTCCATTATCCTCCTTTTTTTCTTCTTGTTATTGCTCTCCTTCTTCCATATACGTTCAATGCTCGATTTTAAAAATTAACGTACCGTAAATATGAATCGTTTCGAATGAATAACTCAAAATATTTAGATGAGTTTATATCTGAATTTTAGAACTGTTTAGAGAAAATTTGAGTTGGTTGGAATAGAAAAAAAAAAAGAGAAGGGTTAACTACACAAATTCAACTTATTAGGCAAAGAACGTACTTAAATTGGACCTAACCCAATATATTTATCCTGATTGGACCCACGATCAAAAATATTTACCCGACTGCCTCCTTGTTCTATTAACTGAACCTCTGCCTCTTCATTCCTTATACTATCAGAGTATATATATACCCTAATGATATCAAAGAGTAATTGAGTAGTGTTTTCACTAAGAAACTACTTCTTCCCCTTTGATACCATTAGTAGTTAAAAACATAAGGTATAAAAGTAAGGGGACACACACTTGTAAGTAGTTTCGCTTTTGGGGTACAAGTGTTTGTTTGTAAAAAAAAAAAAAAAAGAATCTGCAATGCATACTTTATTATATCAATAACGTATATATATATATATATATGTATATCGTCTATATAAATTGTACATTATTTATATAATATCAGTATATTATATACACATATAATATACTGATATTATACAGTATATTATATACACATATAATATCACTACTTAAGTGTAACTTCGCAGAAGGAGACCATATTTTACATAGTGAGAATCAACATTTAAATACGGTTACAGATCTAATAATAAATTTAGCAGAACATAGTCAGTCAAAAGACGATAGATTTCTAAAGATAATAGAAACCATAGAAACCTGGCAACAAAGACAAAACAAATCATTAGAAAAGATAGAACAAAATTTTGATTTTCTAAAAAATCAGCAACTAGATATAATTTCAAAGGTACAAAACATAGTAGTAAATAAGATAACTGATAACAATCCTTTAGAAATACTAAATAGCCAGATAGAAAACCTTTATAAAGAGACAAAAGAAATTAAGAAAGAACTAAGTAAACTTAAAGACTTAACCCTTTCATGAACAACCTCTTTTACCAAGAAGTCCTTAGAAAAACAGCACAATTTCAAGCTAACCCTGAAGGTTTATCTGATTACGTTCCACCAGGAAAAACAGATTCTATAAGCGTAAAACAAAACAATTTGATAATATTTGCTTTATTAGAATTAAATAAAAACCTAGAAGACCAAATAAAAGAAATAAATAAAAAATTAGATATTTTATTAGAAAATAAAGCCCCTACTAAAAAAGGTAAGCAAGAAAACGATATACAAGACTTAATAGAACAGCTCAAGAGAGTAGAATTAACTCCTCAAGAGGATAGACCTAAAAGAAAAGATAAAACATGGACCTTTTTTCAAACAGGAATAGAAATTCCCAAGAAAGACAAAGGGCCAGTTTCTCTCAAGATCGACTAGGAAACAATATGTTAGCTCGAATTATGAATAACTCATCTAAGCCTAGTAGTAGTCACCAGCTGGATGAATTAATAGATGTAGATAGAGACATAGAAATTTTCAAACAAAATAAATTAAAAATGCTAAATCCACAAGTCCTCTATAATACAGGTTTTTTCTCATCAACAGCACATCTATACAGACATTATAGAGAAGAACAGTTAAGCGTATCAGAAAACGATAGTGAAAGTATAAATTTAATTAGTAAAGAATCTATGCAAGAAATACAGAAAAGACGAATGAATCTCATGCACATGGGATTGGTGGTGATAGGGCTTAAAGGATTAACTAGAAAAAATTTAGGTACTAAAGTACTAATTACTTTATATGATAGCAGATGGTCAGAATCTAAAAGATCAATAATAGGTTTAACCGAAGTAGACATGAGTAACAATGGAGGAATATTTTACTGTAGTCCAGATTTTATGATAAATTCAAAAGAATTTGGTAAGTACATAAAAATAGGCATACAGACCAAAGGGTATGAAGAAATGAATTGTGGAAATAATCTTTTAGTTTGTGTTGGCTTTATAGGAAAATTAGCCACCAACAGCAGTTCAAAGTTTAAAATAAAGATAGACGATGCAGTAGGTATAATGGGAAATAAAGGAATCAAGTTAATGAACCCTTTAAAAATAAATTCAGAAGAATATGCTGGTAGAGAATGGAATTTAGAAAATTTCTGCAAAAAAGAAGTATTACGACCAAACGACCACCTCACATACACTAATACTAAAGGAGAGACATCAATTAGATTCACTGATTATAAATATACAGATCAAAAAGAAATAGAGGAAGACTTAGAAGATAATGAATCAACCGTTAATATGGAAGGTATGAATATCCAAAATATAAATGAAGAAGACTACGAAGTAGACTTATCAATAGCACAAGCTAAAGAATTACATAAAGAAAATAAAACAACTTTGTTTAAGTGTAAAGGTTGTAAAATGGGAAAAATAGATATCTCTATAGTAGAAACGCATTTTAAAGAATGCAAATTCAGAATAGATAATTATGGGTATAGACAAAAAGAAAAAGAAGAAAGTGATGATGAGACAACACGCAGTCTAAAAGAATTCATGGAAACCGCTTCTTCTAATTCAAGTCCTTTTCAAAAGACAACCCCCATAACACCAGTAGAATATACTATAGGAAACTTACCACGTCATCGGGTATATAGGCAAGACCCGGCAACAGAACCAGAAATGGTTAGACCAATAGGAATAAGAATGCCAATAGAAGCCCCTATCAAGCTTCAAGATGGAGGAGATAGAGGTAAGATACTAAACATAGCAGCTCATGATCCTCAATTATGGAACTCAGTAATAGATGTATGGAAAGGAATAGTAGTAGCAGATTACATACATCATTATAGTGAGACAGATGCAGAAACTATGTATAGATACATGGAAACCTTTTTAGGAGAATCAATCAAAGGAATGTGGGAAGCATACAAGGTAACCTACCCTCAAGAATTCCAAGAACTAGTAAATATGGGACCAAATCCATATAATTTCACTAATAAAATACACAGCCTAATAACAGGAGAAGACCCTAATAGTGGATTGGTAGTATTGCAAAAGAATGCATTAATAAAACTAGAACAACTTAGCATTACAAATTGGAGCCATATCAAAAACTTTCTAAAGGATTATTTTTATTTATGCGCTATAAGCGGCAATGCATTTGATCAAAGCTTAGGAAAAAAGCTTTTTAATAAACTCCCTGGAGCATTAGGAAGAGAAATAGAAGAAAGATGGAGTAAAAGAGAAGGAGTTATGCAAAATCCAAATGTTAATTGGTCTATCGGACATAAAATACAGCATGTTATGGAAATATTACAGGAAAAGTGTACAAATATACAAATACAAAAACAATTAAAGCAAAATGAGACTGGTTTTTGTAAGAATATATATACAACACAAAGCTATGATCAAGGTACACCAAATAAGAAATATAGAAGAAAATATCAAAATAACCAAGACTACAGACCAAGGAAAAAATATTATCTACGAAAATCTACGGCAAAAAAGCCTTACCTAAATAAAGATAGACATG